TGATTGGTAAGTTGATACACATTTTACAAGTTTTCAGGATTATTTTAATTTTAGAACTCATTAGCATCTCTAATTTGTACAGTTTTCGTTTCCCATAGAATGATAATCTTTGATCTTTTCTTCAACTATCACATAGGTTCTCAAATGAAACACATACCAGTCAGAAATTATTGGACTTGGACCCTGGAAAAGTCGATAATATCTTTCAGGCACTTAATGAAACCTCAATCTACAGAAATCTTTAGTCGAATTTCTTGGTTATTCCAATACTTTCCTCCTATTGGATTCAACTAAAGATTTTCATGGACCAGAATTTCATCAAATTTCGATAGGATTCTATCCAGATCAATCGATCTTATAGATGATATTCTACAATCAATCTCTTCGTCCTGAATTATATAATCAGATTATCGAGACGGCTTAAAATCTTATCTTATCTATCTAAATAAAAGTTGAATGAAAAACCACAGGAAAATGATGTGATTCAGATTTCAATAGTTGAATTTCATGGTAAAAACAGGCATTCTGATTCTTTGACATGAACTAAATCCCCTGTAGAAATACGAAAAACTGCTTTTCCATAATTACCGAGATAATTCTATCGGATCAGACAAACGTCGGTGGTCTTTTCATTAGAATAATACAGAACTCAACTGTGGGACTATTCGAACTATATAAATTGCAGAGTGGCCCGTCTATCTTTTTATTCGACACACGAATAAATATAGTCCCCTGTTACCTTTCCATGACTTCAACGATCATGTTCATTTTATGTTTCTTCATCGTTATTTGGGTATCAAAATGGCTGTCCTCAAAATAGGCATGGCATATTATCTTTATTTAGCACGTAAGAAGATACTTCTGCTGTCGTTCTTCTTGATATTTTCTCGCTATATGTATACTTGTCGTGTTTCCATGTTCAATTTTGCTTGAAATAAGTATACAAAACGACGAGTTGTTCTACAATATTTTCGATTGATTAGTTTTGAGGCGAAAGTCATGTTGACTTATTTTTTTGTATAAGAAAGTATCGATCAAATATGCAAGTAATTAAATGATTATTATTCCAAGATATCTACGTTTTTATTTATAGAAGCACTCTTTTTCTCATGCTCAGTATGAGAACTAGGATAGTTCTAGGTCATGTTCAAATGAAGCGGTCAGAACTCATGTGATCGTACAGTGCCTATAAAAGAAGTTGAACTATTCCAAATAGTTTTCGTTCGCAGAAACAGAACTAGTAACGTTCCTTGGATATAGTGGCGTGGTCAATGTTTGAGGCATGCTAAGGCTCATGCTTGTTTTTTGTCGTGTATACCGTGGCTCAATCTCTCTCAACAGCACCTTACCGATGCCGCTAATTGGATACTAATTCACTTGTGTCTAGATTAAGAGATGATTGAATTTAATGTTAATAAATATGTCCGTAGGAAGATTACAAGAAGATATATGTTATCTCTTCATTCATTACATATATCATTAAAAGACAAGAAGACCATGACGTAGCATAAAGTAGACAGTCGTTTTACAAGCATATTTCACATAGAAACATACGTAGGCGTATGTTTTTGCTTTTCATTTCAATTGTTTTTTCGAGATCAAGGCCTTTCAGATTGGGAAAACGTATCTGTCATACAACTAAAGCCATGCTATTGAAGAGAAACGCTGAATGGTTCTGAAATACGAGATTCGAAATATATTCCAAAAAACTTCATCTTCACTAGGGGTACAATAGTTCGGAAAAAGTTCCGAACTGATGAAGTATTCTACTAAAAGAGCAGAGCTGAACGGAATTGTTCGAACAGTTCAGTTCATTTTGCGAGAACTGTTTGAAAGAACTGTTTGAAGAGTTCTCTTGAACTGACCCGAGCTGTTCGCACAGTTGAGCTCAGCTCAGGGAACTGAAAAGGTCGGACTCTGTAGAATAGCCAAAAGTCTCCATGGGCTATCCTATAAGGGTACCCGTAAGTCGTCGTTGCCTATCCTAGGGGGTTCCCATTAGAGGTCGACAAGCTCAGTTTTAGTTTAGCACTGACGAACTCTTCAATACGCTGACCAACACGAACTGAACTATTCGAACGGTTCTCCCGAGTGAACCGAACTTTTTCAAACAGTTCTCTTCCAATGAACTGAACTCTTTGAACAGTACTTTTCAAGGAACTGGACCTTTTCACGGAGTTCAGTCCGCCAATAGATTATCAGAAAAAGTTACATCCATAGGCTTTGAAGTGCTATTTTATAGGGGTGCCATTAGGACTTCAGGTTGTATTTAAGAGGGATGCCTTAAGGTCCTAAAGTCCTATTATAGGAGTTGTCCTGAGGACATCAAATCCTATTATAAGGGGCAACTATTTGGTCCTCAAGCTAGATTATATAGTGGTACCCATGACTCTTCAGCTACTATTATATAGGGTATCCTTCGTTCTCTAAGTTCTGTTATAGGAAGACATTTTTAGATCCTCAATAAATCTTTTGGAGGCACCATTGCGTCATCAACAACTACTACTGAGGGTAATCTAGCGTTCTTGGATTCTGGTGTAACACTAATTTCCGAGATAATATGGCAAAAGGCAATCAAAATTCCGCTTGTTCAACAAGGAACCAATGAGATTGGAAGTTTCTATGTGTTAATGATAAAAGCGATCAAGACCCTTATGTATACTCGTTCGATAGAGCATCCTCGATAACCCTAGGATTGGCCCGAAAATGACTAGTGGTTGTCAGAGTAATAAGATAGACAATGTCTTTTGAAATTTAATTGGTCAAAAATTGACGAATAAGATCTTAGAAAAAGTTTTCGTGCTTATATTTTCGTGAGAATCAGAAATGATGTTAGGATAGATAGTACAGTTTGTTAGGGTGCTATATCGTATGTGAGTTGTTCGTTTACGGATCCCTGCTGTATGCCACGGAGAAATAAAGTGCGGAAGCGGAGTAGTCTATTTCCTCACTAGTTAGGTTCCGGTAGATGTGTGCTTTCATCTCATACTACCGGTGATTGTTGAAGACTGATTGGTACCGCTTAATGCAATCCTTGAGGAGGAAAGTTACCCGAAGGACTAGGACTTCAGGACGGTTGGCTACCAGCAATAGTAGAAGAGCATGACTTAAGGGTATCCCTATAGTATAATTTGAGGACAGAAGGCTACTCCTTAACAAACATGACTCTAGTACCTAAGGATGCCACTATAGTAGGACTTGAGGGCATAACGTTGCCCCTTATAGTAGGACTTCAGGACCCAAGGATACTCCTGAACAGTGGGGCTGAAGAATCTATGGGTACCCACAATAGTAGGGCTTGAGAGCCCAACGGTGCCCGTGAATAGTGGGAGCTGGGGACCTAAGAGTACCGCCTATAGTATCACCTGAGGACGAACGGGTACCATCCACAGCGGAGCTTGAAGATCCAATGATAACTTCTATAGTAGAGCGGGAGCACCTGAGAAAACCCCCTATTGTAGGATTTGGGGATCCAAAAGTGCCTCCATAGGATAGTCGTTGAGGACATATGGATACTCCTATAGGATAGTCCTTGAGGACCTTTGAGTACCGTTGTAGAATAGTAGCTATTTTAACTTTATGTTCAGTTCATTCGAAAAGATTTGTTTGGAAAGTTCAGTTCGTTGAAAAGAACTGTTCGAGCAGTTCAGTTCATTTGGAACGAACTGTCGGAAGCAGCTCAGTTTGTTCAAAAGAACAGTTCGAGTGGTTCTTTAGCTCATTTGAACGGATTTCGTGAATTGAGCTGGTAGATCCCGAATCTTCGTATCTAACCTACAAATGACAAAAAACGTAAATAGTCTAGAAGTCTCAATAAGCCTGAAAAGCATTTAAAAAAATCGAAGTTCAACAGAAATTAAATAAAAACAATGTTTTCATCGCAATCACTATTGATTTCGCATGTTTAATACAATGAAACCGATTCAGTCGTACATTATAATCTCTGATATTGATTTATCTCGGAAAGAGCTGAAAACAGCGAGATTTCACTCTGTTTGCTACACTGTGTTTTAAATAAAATGGCCTGGTTGAAGTATTGAGTACACGATGCTTAAGCATACAAAAATTTGAAAAGCTGCGTTTAAGTCCTCAAAATGGAACCGCGTGTGTGCATCATTAACGTTCATTAAAAAACGCAAGAAATACGTCTTCTGCGCATAATTTTCATTTTCATCGCTTTTAAACAAGGAAGTGACTATGTACACATATGTGTATATAGCTAGTCAGCTATGTACACTTATGTGTACATAGCCAAGTGACTATGTACACACAAGTGTATATAGCCAAATGGCTATACATACATGGGTAGGTATAATCAACCTAGCATATATGATATGATTATTATCTTATATATATTTGCTTATTAATAAAAACTAAATATTTCATTTTTCTAATAATTTTATTTTATTAATTATTTATTACACACAAGCATAAATTAATTAGTACAATTACAGAACAACAGAAAAAATTAATTTAAATAAAGATCAACTAATTTAGAAGCATTTCTAGTGCTTCCTCTCTTTGATTTTGAAGGAAATGGTCGAATTTCATTACTTTCAATGAGATAAATGAAGTGTCTGGTGCTAGGATTTTTGTTCTCTCTTCAATATATCATTTTTCTGATACTCTACCATAAAACGAAAAATTGAATTTTCTTTTCTCAGCTTAATTAGCTTAAAAATGGGAAATTGAAAACATAAAAAGTCAAATAAGTTGCACTATAAGAACATAACCTTTATTAAGATAAATTGATTAATCCTCACTTTAATCTTTTCTCTATCGAGCTTATTAATATTTTTACAAGTTAAATGAAATGAATTGATAATTTCTATAATCAGATGGACAAATTGTTTATGATCTCATTTATGGTACTAAATAAATACTCTTATATCATTGAAAAATCTATCATACTCATTCTCAACGTCTATTGCAAACTGTATTTTCTATTATTCTCATATATAATTATTTATTCACGTTTATCGTAATTATTCAACCAGACAATGGAACAAGATAAAGACACTCTCTTTACAAAAGAATTTGATAATTGGGAAGAATTTCAAAAAACATTTGAATATTGGTGCATTACTTATTATCAACTAGTGAATGTTAAACGTACTTCAATGAAATATAACGAAAAACTAATGAAAGATTTATTTGATCGTTTTCGATACCAACATGTAATGTACGTATGCCATCATAGTGGCCCTATTAGAAGACACATAAAAGATGGTTCAAGACCAAATGAAGAATCCGCTCGATTAGATTGTCAATTTTATTTTAAAGTTAAACATGATACTGAAATTAATAAAATTATTTTTATGAAAAACAAGAACTTAACTCATAATCATCCATTAGATGAAAAAATTTACAAGAATTATTCATTTGTTAGAAATAAAAAATTAGAAGAAAATAATGAAGCATATGATTTATGCAAAACGCTAATTGCTGCAAAGACTTCAACATATAATAATCGAAAATTAATAAGTGATAAATTTGACATTAATTTAACAAGAAAAGATATAAATAATTTTAAACAAAAATTAAAATTTAACTTAGTTGGAGATAAAAGCGATCCAGAATTATTAAAAACATGGATTAATCAAATATTAAATGATAACTCTGAGAATTCTGTTCAAATTAAAATTAATGACAATGGTGTTTTAGAATGTTTATATATTCAAACTTCTCAAATGAAAACATGGTTTAAAAAATATTCAAATATCGTTCATATAGATTCGACATTTAAAGTTAATATTGAAAATTATCAATTATATATATGTTTAGTACAAAACGCTAATTTAAAAGGTGTACCTGTTGCTTACTGCTTAATGGTCAGCGGAATTAAAGAAAATTTAGAATTTTTTTATTCTTCATTTAAGAAACTTAATGATTTATCTGAAACACAAGTTGTCATGATTGATAAAGATTTAACAAATGCTGGTATTTTACAAGATTATTTTGATAAAGCAGGAACATTATTATGTGTATTCCATGTTTTGAAATATTTAAAAGTTCAA